GGGGGGGGGGGGGGGGGAAAGCATCAAAATCAAACAGACCCTAGAAGGACTGACAACTATTGATTTTTAGTGTGATACATAAGCACAACCCATAATAAATATATATTTGTTTGATTTTAGTGGGGTTGCATATAGATGTGCTTTATTTAGTGCATATTTTAATGAGTTGCTTGAAGTGGGATCTTAGGTTCCAGTCCAGATCTACTGAAGCTGCTGAGAGTGGGCATGTGATGATCCACATCTTTGAAATGAAGGTGATCATGGGTATTGCTGACCGGGTTTCAGCTTTTCTGTATCGTTAACATGATAGGGAGCTGGTAACTGGGAACTGCAAAGATATTTGTGTGGATTGGAACAAGTATTTGTCCTGAGGTTGTCACAATAAAATACTTCAGCTTCTTTTACACTGTTCATACAGTATGTTGCCTCTTTTTTTTTTTAACTCTCTTCATTTTCAGTTTATATACTTCAACACAGTGAAAAGTGGGAATGCACAACTGCAGTTAGTCCTTCATGAGTTAGGAGTAACATCTAGCATGTGTTTGTTATCCTTGCTACCTGCAACATCAAAGAAATACTCACATGTGCTTTAACTTCTTCCCTGTAGGCTTGTGCAGTCTCGTTTGGTTTATGTTTAATGGTCTCTTTGGCAGTGTACATGTATCTTTGAATGTGTGATTTAGAGCATTCCTCACCTAATATAACTTGTGGAGTTATAATTAGTCAAGATACTGAATTTTAGAGAGAATTCCATTGGCCAGAATTGGATGCAATGTTTGTATCCTTGGAAAATACGGCACTTTTGTTTGCATCAGCTCTCACAAATCCCTGCTCTCTTCAGTTGAGCTGAACTCATCTTTGGCTGTCTCCTGCACGGCCCCCTCTTGCAGAGCTCTCAAGAACAAAAATAAAATACCAATGTAATAGTATGAATTTTATCCTTATAATTTCATACCAGACCTTTGATGCAATTCATAATCCTTTTCATGTGAAGGGTAAAAAAAAATTAAGGAATCTGAAGGTAAAGTTGATCTTGTTTGACATAATTTACAGTGATGTTCTTTTTCCATAGTGGTGGCAGAAGCAATGTGTTACTAGATAATGGAATCGTAGACTTTGAAATACTAATTTCTAGCTATGCTCTGTGGAGAGATTGGCTACTATGAATTATGGGGTTTTGATCTTCCGTGTAAGCTTTTTCTTTGTGTGCTGAACTGCGGACTTTGAGAAGCTGAGGTAAAGCTGTATAGGTTTTCTAAAAGAGTGCTCAGGTAGGAAATAACATATCAGGTGTATCATCTTGTATCATGTTAAGGACATGATACTTCCCTGTCTGGTTCTGACAAACCTGAAGAACTCTCATTATGCTTTTTTGTGCGCTGAGCTTTCAATAATATTTAAAATTTTAGTTTCTAGTTTTATGCCAAACATCTGCATCTGTTTGGCTGTAAACTAGTTGAAAATCAAAATAAAAAGATGATTTATAGGTGAAGGAACAAATGTCTAAAGACTGTTTCCTCGGTGTTCCTTGCTAATGGCAATTACCTTTTTATTAAACTGGAAATTATAATATGTGAAAGGAAGAAAACCAGCAGTGATCTGATGACTTGCCGTTTAAAAGCATAACTGCTGAGAAGAGCAGAGGCTTAGTCTGCATTCTTTACCTGCTTCATTCACATTCTCATGAGGGTAATGGAATTGTACACAATTAGAACACACCTTTTTTTTTTTTTTTCTTTAACCCTTCTTATCACTTATTGCCCTCTATTGTAGTATTGGTTGATGTAACAAATCGCTGAAAATCTCACTCTGTGATGATGTTTTAATCAGTTCCTGATTTACATCATTTTGGTTTGCATCTTTAAACTTCAAATATTTTTATATTTTGTAACTTTTAAACATAGGGTTTTGCTTTGCCCTAAGAGGAAGCACCATAAGAATTTGAAAAATATTTGTGATACACCTCTTCTGGGTTTCATTATTGCACAGGGCCTTTGCTATTTTTAACTTGTTAATTTCAGACTAATGTTTCATTAGTTGGACAACTGCCTCACTGTAATCTGCCAGTTGTTTTCAACAGACAAAAATGTGCTTCTGGTAATTTAATTATGCACTTTAGTGGAAGGGAAAGGGCACGCTGTAGCTGAATTCAAAGATGGTATAGCTTCTCCACACTCTAATTACACTTCTGTTTGCCATTTCTGGAGGGGTAGAAAAGTCAAAGTGGTTTGAGTGGAAATACTTCTGTGAATGGCCTTAATAAGGATTATTAATGAGTTGAGTCTCAGTATGGTTTAAATGTCCTGTGCAATTTTCTAGGTAAATAACTAATTGGAAAGTATTTGTGGGTAGTACTTTATCTTTACATACCATACTTTCTAGTCTAGATTTGTTTTCCCTTTGAGATGTAGAAGGTATATTTTCAGATAACTGTTCATCTTTTTATAGATAAAAACACTTAACATAAAAATAATGGAATGGTTTTACAATTTGGGTCTGATACATGTTGTCTAGAAATGATGTTTCCTATTAAAAAATGGGAATGTCAGTTATCTAAATTGATAGTGTCTTTCTTAGATACATAGGGAAATAAATTGTAATGATTCTCTTACTGAATTCAGGCCTATTAATTTGACCTGTAAAACTTTAAATCTGTTAAGCTCTCTCATGCAGCGGGTGAAGTGAATTGGTGTCAACAAGCAGTGACTAGTGCTGTCTCATTAAGGGTTTGCTAATTTCTGAAATACAGTTTCATCTTATGAAAAATGATAAATAGCCTTACCCTTTGTTCCTCGCCTTGTTTGTGTTTGAAACTCATAGCAAGGAAACATTTCTGTTTCAATCTTTGGTTCTTTAGAGGGTGGGTGGGTTGTTTGTTTTGGTTTTTTTACTATGCAGGAAAAGAAATTAAACCTTTGAAGCTGAGAGAGTTTTGGGAAGCATCTGAGTGGGAATGAGGTGTTGGTATTTAAATATTTGTAACTTCATTTTTTCTTAAAAGCTATCTACAGGCTGCAAAAATTTAAGTCATTCTTGCTAATCTCTGCCTTTCTTCTTGGTAGAACATAAGGAAGAGCATCACACAGCTGTCATCCTTGGAAAAGCCCAGACAGTCAAATCAGAAACTCGTGATGGCAAAAGAAGTGAATCTCATTCCTTGGAGGAAGGCCAGAGATCAGTCTCTCTGTCGTCTGGATCAACAAGCAGGTTGGTGAAGAAGAGTCTATTCTGCCTGGTTGTATCATATTAGACCAAACATGGGAAAACTTTGTGAGTAACCTCAAGCAATATATATATATATATATAAAATATATATATCCCACTTCATAGGATGAGTTCCAGAGCTGGTTACTGAGTCATTCTCCTCCATGTTTCTGGCTGTATCAGTTAGCTTAAGGGATGGAGCTGAAATGCATTCAGAATTCACTTAATAGTTCTGTAATGACTTGATAGAGGGGTGCTAGTGTAAGTGTTCATTTTGAGTCAGAAACAGTGACTGCAGTGTCTGTGGAACCAGAAGGTTTGGTGTTTCTCTTCCACTGCGTCATCTTCCCTTCTGTTTGAAGTTTTATTTAGAGAGGTCCAAAAATTGATATAGCCTAAGTCTTTTAATATCTCTTTAAGTTGAGTATTTCTGTAAGAAACAGAGTTAAAGCAATCCATATTGCAGTGGTAGAATACCACTGAACCTTGAAGTCCTGACAGGCATTCACTTTTCTTTCTTCATGCATTTAGCTTTGCTTCCTGAAATTGCCTTATTTGGTTTCAGAAAATGAAGGATTTATAAATAATGCAAGATTTTATGCTTTTGATAGTTCAATGATAATCTTATTGTAAGGAGACTCAGCCGTTATTGCTGATAAGATCTATCTAGTTTTTGAAGGTAGTGTTTGTATCTAATATCTTAATGGATCATAATTTGCTCTCTACTGCTGATCAGTTGTCAAAGGTGACAATGATGAATACTTAGATACATATTTTACTGCAATGCTGGTTGCTGTGGCCCCAGTTTATGGAGGAAAAGTGAAAAAGTCTTTGAAGACAAATACAGAATAACTGGTTTTTGGTATGAACCTAAAAGCAGGAGAGCTAATCTTGAAAATAATCTTGCTATCTTGTTGATGACAGAAATGAGAGAAGAAGGCACCCTTTGTGGGTCTGAATTACTAGGAAGAAAAAGGTTTCCTATGTTTAGAAGTGGGAGATAATCAGAGGAAGTAGGTGAAGGTTGACAGCTGAGCTAGGAATGACATTTCTTAATTTCCCACACATTACACCCATAGTATGTGCCTCTTCCTCCTTGTTCTGCAAATATTGAGAATAATATACTGCTTGGCCTCATCATCTTTTATTAAAAGAACAATTTAGTTGTTGAAAAATTTAACTGAATCAAGTTTTTTCCAAATTAATTTTGGTTCACAAAGAGTTGTTAAAAGTCAGCATGGGGATTAAAGATGGAGCCTTTCACAAAAGTAAATATTAAACAGTGAATGAAAACCTAGGGAGACCTAGGAAAGCAGAGATCAACTCAGGGAATTAGAGGGCATCAAATGTTAAATGTCTTTGTTTTATATGATCGGGTTTTGCTGCCTATTTCTATTTACTGGAGCTAAATGGGAGCATATAGTAAACATTTGTCTGTAAACAGCAATATGCTGGCTGGGCAGATCACTTATGTGGAGGCAGAAAGGGTATTTGCTGTTTAAAAATATCACTACATTTTTGTTTGGCTTCAAGCCTGTGTTACATACTAGTAAAATCGTTCCCCTCCTGGTGGCCTTTCCCCTCTTTACTGTATGTGTCTTTCTGCCTGAATTGTTACTGTCAAATCAATAAATATAGCATTTCATTGTATTTGCTGTTTAATGTGTAACAAACCTATTAAGATTACTGAGGTACTAGTTTTATCTAAGTTTCTCAGGATGTCATGCAAATGATGATAGCTTTTTCCTCCCTGTGATGCTGGTAACTTGGTAATTTCTTTACTTTTAAGATAGGGTCCAGTTTGCTGGACTCAGAGACTTGCATGTTGTAATACCCAATATTCAAATATCTTATTTTCAAGTCTGTGGCCTTCAGAGCAGAATCCACAGGTCTCAGCAGGACACACTGAATCACAGAGGCTGTGTGACCCTCTGGAGATCATCTAGTCCCTGCGTGGAGCAGGGTCAGCTGGAGCAGGCTGCTCAGGACTGTGTCTAGGCTGGTTTTAGTATCTCCAGGGATAGAGAGTCCATACCCTTCCTGAGCAACCTACTATGGTGTTTGACCGCAGTACATAGGTTTTTTCTTACATTTTGTGGGAATTTCCTGTGTTTCAGTCTATGTCTGTTTTCTCTTGTTCTGTCACTGGACACCACTGAGAATAGACTGTTGTCTTTGCTCCCTCCCATCAGGTATTGCTGTGCATTGTTAAGATCCCCTTGAGCCTTTTCTACAGAAGACTAAACAGTCCCAGCTCTCCCAGCCTCTTCTCTTAAATCTTAAGAATTAAGTGTGTCAGAATGGGCTTTGTGTGAAGCAGCAATGCCAAACAGCGAGTTCTAAGGACTTAGCAGTGGACACCACAGACCAGAGTGTCTGAATCCTGTCCTTGGCAGCATGCAGGTGCCTGGCTTAGCAGCACTGCCTTGTGATTCACAGCCAGAGCCCTCCTGATCTTAAGCACTGAAGCCCTTTTAGAAATGGACCAAGAACTAAGCTCTAAACTGGAGGGCGAGATACACCACCTAAAAGACTCTTGCAGGTCGCACAGCTGTGGGTTGTGACTGTCTCTTCTTAAAGCTGCTCAGCTCAGGATCTGTACTGAAAAATGAAACGGGCCATGGAAAACAAGTCTTCAGTGCTTACGTAGATGGGAAGAATCTGGCCCTGTGGCTTTGTTCTGGAGACTGGTTTTGTGTGCCTGACGCCTCAGCTTTCCAGTTTGCAGCTTGGGCCGTGGCTGCTCTGCTGCTGGAGGGCAGTTCTGGGGAAGCGCCTGGCAGCAGGATTCTGACATTTGGTTTGGATAGTGGTGGGAAGGAACCCAGGCAGGAGCTCTACCCCAGGGTGACTAAAGGCCAACTCTTGCAGATCTGTGCGAGCCATCAAGTGTGCCAGGCGCACAGATGATAGATGGACCCACTTCATCCTCACGGTGCCTGCTGCTGCGGTTGCCCTCGAGCTCCAGTTGTTATTTTAGTCCCACAAAATAAATGCCTTCAGCTTAGGTCTTCATCCAGAGTTTGAATGAGGTGTTCCTGTTCTTCCCTATTTTACTTAATTTTTTTTTTTGATTGCAAATTAACCTTTTGCCATTAAGGACCTTGGAAACTTGGAATTTTAATCTTACAGAGTAAGTTCTAGGGAGGTAGAAAGGGCTTGATTTAGCTCATCTAAAGTATCATTAAATCACTGCCAATTTCATGTGTGCATGACGTTATGAATGATTCTCCCCATGGCCTTTGACATCAAAATTAAACTTTTATTATTTACCTTTTTCTGTCGGCAGGCTTGTGTATATCAACTTCAAGTCTGGATGAAAGTGTGTCTAAGACTGCAAGAACGTTTGCGGAAGGATATTAGCACAGGGCAGTTACTAATGATCTGAATGTGCTTTCATGAACTAAGTTGCCACATTTTGTTGGAAAGTGTGCATTTGTTTGCATTATGTCTGGCTCAAAGCAGAGTTGTTTATTCTTTTTATGCATTTGGTCTCCAAATGAAATATTTCCATAGACTTCTTGCATCAAACATGGAATCTCTCACTTGTACAGACCAGTGAGTATGTATCGCAGATATTTGGACCTTCTTCTAAAAAAACATGCTTAATAGCTCCCTGTGGTTTACTCTTAAATTCAGCTCCTGTGGAACAGGAGCAGAATTACTAGAGTCTGCACAGAATTGTTTTTTCAGAATCTCTCTGGGATTTTTCTCTTCACTTTCCTACTTTGTGCATATCCCCTGGTTTGTATGTGTGGTATGGTTTCTGTTTATTTTTCTTTAAATATAGGGCAGTTTGCTTAACCTTGGAAGCTAGCTACTACACTGGTCAAGAAGTTCAACAAAGTGGTGGGGCTTTTGGGGGTTTTTGGGGTGTTTTTTTGGTGGGGCTTTTTTTTGTTGTTGCCTCTTCCCCCCCTATTGTGTATTAGACTCGGCTGATGGGCAATTGGGCTCTGTGGCATGCCTTAGGGCATTATACACTGTCGATTCTCATCCTTTACATCCAAACCTCTGGTTATATACTCTGCTCAGAGAGGTAAAAACAGCGATAATAATACAGTGAAAGCTCAGCTGATGTGACAGGTGACCCCTTGTGACGCATGGACGACCCCTCTTGTTTGACCACAGTGTTTCCTGTGCCAAACTGTACCTTTCTGAAGAACAATTCAGTGTGTTTTCTGGGAAACAAACAGAGGTTACAGGGATCACCCCTCCCCAAAGACTGATGTGAAGTACGGCTTATAAAAAAAAAAATTAAATGTATTTTTCATCTTTACTGTTTCTGTTCCTGATAGCTGCTCTGAAAAAACAGCAGCTCAGAGGTAGCAGTGCAATACCCAGGTCTTTGGCCCTTTGAGACCTGTCATGTTCTGCTGTGTCCATGGACTGGCTTTGGGCTGCAGAGCTCTGGGTGTTCAGCTGTGGCTCATGCTTCCAGTACGCTGCTCACACGTTTCTGGTATAATCAGAATGGACTTGGATTGTGGCAAGATCTGCAGGGATTATAAAAAGTAGGTGTAGTCAGATAAACTGCATGAAAGAAAGAGATGTGTTTTGTTACTCTGTGGTTGCCATAGGGTTAATGTTTTGTTAATTGTAGTGAAATAAATATAGCATGAATCAAAAAAGAATGATTTAGATTTTGAGGGTTTAAGTAGCATTGTGCTATTGTACCAAGTAATGATTTTCTGAAGGCTTGTATTTTATTTCTGATAATAAGAGGATATCCTTTGACAAGGGTAAATGTTTTTCACATTGAAATGTCAAAACTTGAAATATATTTGGAAGTCCAAATCTACATGCTGTGTTTTTATGAAGAGAGCACTTCTAAATGGAGGGCTGATGTTATGATGGATTAAAAGAAAAATTAGGATTTTTTAGCAGCATATAGAATATACAAAACAATCTTGAAGCTGGATAGTTGAAATGGTTGGTCTGTAAAAAGATGCTGCCAGTAAATTAACAATTTTTGTTTTCTCCTTCATAAAACCTTCTGGTTT